GGAGTCCGACCGGCCGCCCAACATCAGATATAGCTGGGTGTCATCAGCATATTGATGACAACCCAGCCCACAATTCCGGGCAATCTGGGCAAGGGGCCGCATATAGATGTTAAACAGCATCGGGGACAGCACTGCCCCCTGAGGAACGCCACATTCCAGGGCCCACCTCTGGGACCGCTGATCCCCTATCGCCACCCTTTGTCCCCGACCTTGGAGAAAAGAGACCAGCCATTGAAGGGCAAGCCCCTGAATCCCCACGTCGGCGAGGCAGTGGGCCAGCAACTTATATAATTCTCGCCTCCATTTTGTCCTCACAACAACCCTGCGAGGTAGCTCAGGCTGAGCGTGTGTGACTGGCCCAAGGTCACCCAGCAAGTTTTCATGGAAAACTGGAGATTCAAACGTGGGTCTCCCAGATCCTAGTCTGAGACTTAAACCACCACACCGTTCCGGCTTCCATTATTTTATAGCATCCTATCAATTTTCCTCTTTTTTGTGCCCTTATGCCTATGTATACACGCCGACCGGATTTAACACTTCATGCATCTGATGAAGTAGGTTCATGAAAGTTTCCACCCACAACAAATGTCAGGATTCAAGCTTTAGGGAGGCAACAGCCAACATAACTGACCTTCATCTCCGCAAACCAGTTTCTTCACGATGCAAGGGATCTCTGTGTAGCCGAAGCTCACGAGCTGCTCGATTTGCCGCGCTGTGATTGGGTGCTCCCACATGGCTGTGTTCATGGCGGGACAGAACAGCAGTGGCTTGCTGAGATCCCAGGCACGAACAACGCAGGTCTGGAAAAGAAGAACATTACAGGCTGGAGCGGACTCTACGGGCATGCTGAAGGATATTTCCTTCTCTGAAGAAGAAGAGAAGAGATTGGATTTATACCCCGCCCTTCACTACCCAAAGGAGTCTCAGAGCGGCTCACAAACTCCTTTCCCTCCCCCTCCCCACCACAGACACCCTGTGAGGTAAAAGAAGAAGAAGAAGAGATTGGATGTATACCCCGCCCTTCACTACCCAAAGGAGTCTCAGAGCGGCTTACGAACTCCTTTCCCTTCCCCTCCACACAAGAGACACCCTGTGATGTGGGTGGGGCTGAGGGAACTCTGGCAGAAACTGCTCTTTTTCAAGGACAGCTGTGCCAGAGCTTGTGACTGACCCAAGGTCACATCAGCAGGTGCAAGTGGAGGAGTGGGGAATCAAACCCGGTTCTCCCAGATTAGAGTCCGCGCACTTAACCACGACACCAAACTGGCTCTGCCTGCACATGAGAAGCGACGGCTAGAGAGTTTCAGCTTCTGCTTGCCATGCTTCTAGAGCAGCTTTTGCAGGGGTTCCGATTTAACTCGAGACAGACAGACAGAGAGACTGACTTGGTTTGGGTGTCAGCCGAAGATCATCGATGCACAGTGGAGGGATGGGGCACATATCAGCAACAGCAGCAGAAGAGACTGGATTTATACCCTGCCCGTCACTACTTGTAGGAGTCTCAGAGCTGCTTACAATCCCCTTCCCTTCCCCGCAACAGACACCCTGTGAGGTGGGTGGGGCTGAGAGGGCTCTTCCCAGAACTGCCCTTGAGAGAACAGCCCTGAGAGAACTGTGGCTTGCCCAAGGTCATCCAGCAGTTCTTCCAGATTAGAGTCCGCGCTCCTAACCACTACACCAAATTGGCAGGCAAAGCCTCAAAGGACTCACCAGCAAGTTGTCGCAGATGCCGTTGGCGATCTTGGCCAGGGTGTTTGCGTCCAGAGGGGCCACCACCATGAGGTCCGCCCAGCGCCTCAGGTCAATGTGCAGGACAGGGTCCGTGCGCCCTTTCCACAGCTGCGGAAGAGAGATCGTTTGGGTTTTAGCAAATGACTTGGCATAACAGGGGCCAACGAACAAACCAGGGCCGGCTCACTCACTAGGCGAATTAGGTGTTTACCTAGAGCGCGCCAGCCCTTAGGGGCGCCAAACTGCACCCGGCACCCCTACCAAAAGCCCCCCCGCCTCCCGGGAGGAGCAGCAGCCCCTGACGTCGCCCTGGCGGGTGGTGGTCTCAGGTGGTAGGCTGGGGCCGGGGGCGGCAGCAGCGGCGGGCGGTTCCGCGGGCCATTCCCGAGCCCAGCCCTGCCTCTGTACACCAGACCCCTCAAGGTGCCAAAGGATGCTGTTGATCACCTGCACACATGAGCCCAGGTGAAGCTGTCATACTCTGAAGCAGACTATCGGTCCATCAAAGTCAGTACTGCCTACCAGTGTTCCCTCTAAACTCCGTCAGTGTGAGCCAGCTCAGTTTTTCAGCCTCCGGCCCACACATTTTTGTCTGAGCTCAGGAAGGGAGGGCTCCAGAGCAAACTGATTTATGCAGCAGCCACATCGCTCGCTCACAACTTTATGGCCAGGAACGCCACAAAGTAGGATTTTTCGCTCACAAGACTCCGCCGCTTAGAGGGAGCATTGCTGCGTACTCCGGTGGCTCATTTTCGGTTCTCTGCGCCGGTGTTTCCCAGCGTTTGGGTCGGGACCCAGAAGGTGATCATGAGGCCTCTGGAAGAGGGTTGCAAGCCAGCCCTCTGCCCTTTTCATCGCTCTCTTTTGTGTTTCGGAAACCGAGATCTGACTCTGAAAACAGGATTTCCCATGCCATTGGTTGGCATTTTTTCCCCACTGCATACATTGTTGGTTACTAGTGTGAGAATCTTGGGGGCGGTTAGAGGGAGCAATGGAGAAGGAGACGGTGGTCAGGAAGCCATTTGGGGTCAGGAAGCCATTTGGGGTCAGGAAGCAATTTCTCTCCAGGCCAGTTTGGCCGGGGATCCTGGAGGGTTTTTTGTCATCTTCTGGGCATGGAACAGCGGTCACTAAGGGTGTGGAGGGGGAGGTATTTGTGAATTCCCTGCCTTGTGCAGGGGGTTAGCATAGATGACCCTGGAGGTTCCCTCCAACTCTACGATTCTGTGATTCTAAAGGCTGGAATGTCACCTCCTTAGGCAAAGGCTGTTTCTCTCGGAATGCCTCCTCCTTGGGGTTCACAGTGGGGCCAGCTGTGCCCTTTGTGTGATGTCTGATGGGTTCTCAAAGACATCTGGTGAGCCACTGCAGAAGACGGGACGCTGAACGGCCCAGTTTGGTGCAGTGGTTATGTGCGCGGACTCTAATCTGGGAGAACTGGGTTTGATTCCCCACTCCTCCACTTGCACCTGGCTGGATGACCTTGGGCAAGCTGTAGTTCTGATAAGAGCCATTCTTGAAAAAAGAGCAGTTTCTGTCAAGAGCTCTCTCAGCCCCACCTACCTCACAGGGTGCTTGTTGTGGGGAGGGGAAGGGAAAGGAGTTTGTAAGCCACTCTGAGACACCTTTGGGTAGTGAAGGGCGGGGTATAAATCCAAACCCTTCTCTTTTACCTCACAGGGTGCCTGTTGTGGGGAGGGGAAGGGAAAGGAGATTGTAAGCCCCTCTGAGACTCCTTCGGGTAGTGAAGGGCGGGGTATAAATCCAGTCTCTTCTTCTTCTTCTTCTGCGCGGACTCTAATCTGGGAGAACCGGGTTTGATTCCCCACTCCTCCACTTGTACCTGGCTGGATGACCTTGGGCAAGCTGTAGCTCTGACAAGAGCTGTTCTTGAAAAGAGCAGTTTCTGTCAAGAGCTCTCTCAGCCTCACCTACCTCACAGGGTGTCTGTTGTGGGGAGGGGAAGGGAAAGGAATTTGTTAGCTCCTCTGAGACTCCTTTGGGTAGTGAAGGGCAGGGTATAAATCCTATCTCTTCTTCTTCTTCTTTTACTTCACAGGGTGCCTGTTGTGGGGAGGGGAAGGGAAAGGAGATTGTAAGCCCCTCTGAGACTCCTTTGGGTAGTGAAGGGAAGGGTATAAATCCTATCTCTTCTTCTTCTTTTACCTCACAGGGTGCCTGTTGTGGGGAAGGGAAGGGAAAGGAGATTGTAAGCCCCTCTGAGACTCCTTTGGGTAGTGAAGGGCAGGGTATAAATCCTATCTCTTCTTCTTCTTTTACCTCACAGGGTGCCTGTTGTGGGGAAGGGAAGGGAAAG